CTATGTGCAGCTTAAGGTCCTGTCACACTATAACATTTTACATTAACTTATGAAAACTTAGAATATTATTTAAGTCTAAATTACTAATTTTACTTGAGGTACTGGTTATAACATCCACTTTATTTTGATATGGTTGAAAATTTGAGAAATGTTTTTGTTTGTTGTTGAAACCGTTTTGCAATATATATAAAACCTTCTTTTGTGCTTCTGTTATGTTCCTTTGCAGTACAGCAAAAATACTGGCTTTGATTATGATGACAGTTTTCTGCTAAATAAATGCTGTAAAAATGACATTTTCTTTGCTTTTTATGATCATTTTCTACAGCGATATGTATACAGTTACTGCAAAGGGATTTAATTTATACCCTGAGTTTGAGGTCATACCGCCCAGCCCTACTGTCATATCAACACACCGGAGCTGACAACATGTTGTTAGTTTACTACAGATCCATGAAACGACTTGTTGTGAGACAAATAAAAACAGCTGGATCAGGAACAGGTGGCGTCATGATGCTGAATGTTTATGAAGATAAAACAGTCTCACAATCTGAGCACAAGATTGTGTAACATTTTGTTTACTGTATGTTTCAAACAAACAGCCTAAAATGAGCAGGTTGAACATTTATCAGAAACAATAAAGTATACATCATCAATAAAAACAATAACTTATATATTTGCTATTTCAGTCCACAAAATGTAACATTTTCTTCTTGTGGCAAAAACTACCAGAAATGTATAATTTTGAGCTTTTACTTCAAATGTAAAACTATTTTAAGATTATTAGGTTATTCCTCTACAAAAAYGACTGAAAACGTATATTTACTAGTGTTCCTCTACAAATACTACCAGTAAATATATTTGAAGTATTTTTCCAGAAGAAAAACAGTAACTGTGTTGAGTTTACGTTAGATGGAGCCTGCAGTCCAGTACAGGAAATTATACTGTTCTGGAGGTTTTCCTCAAAGAAAATGTTACATTTTGTGGACTGTAAGGCTGAAACAAATCTCTGAATAGGTAGGCTTTTTTATTGTGGAAAACTACAGGAAATGTATTTTTCCAGTAACATATTCATTTGTTCTGATAAATCAACTTCGTTTAAGTTGTTTTAGCTGTCCAGTTCACAAAGAAACATTATTAGAACCCAGTAACATCAGTGTGTGTTTTAATTCTTTATTTTACCTAATAACCCTGTGAATCTGTTAAAGCTCAGATGTTCCAGCTTTTCACCAGCCTTGAATGCAGCATTGCACATGTGAAAATCTCAATAGGTAATGTGCACTCATGCGCATGCACAGATTGTGAGACTGTTTCTGCATGTCTAACAACAGATAAGATGTAAAACAGTAAAAATGTCTCCACACACACAGACTTTGTCTCTCTATCCTCATGGGAACTTTTCATTCATTTACTGCTCATTTCTATAGCCCTACCTCAGTCCTAAACCCACCCCACCTACTGTTTGGAGATTCTCAGAGATACGAGGGAAATGGGCAGAGATAAAAAAAAAAACCCATTCAGAAGAGTGGTTGGAAAAAGAGAATTATGTGTATTCAGTGTTTACCCTACAAAATTGGTCTTGATAATATTATTATTATCAATAATAAAAAAATGATTATTGATAATAAGTGATTTGAACTGTGTGCAGCAGATGATCTGAGTCCAGAGTTCTCAGTTTGAAACCTTCTGGAGCTCTTCCATGTGACTCCAGGTGTGACAGAGTGTGGATGGTTGATTGTCTCTTTTGTGTCCCTGACGGAGGCTGGAGACCTGTCCAGGTGTCTCTGGTGAACTGGAGACCTGTCCA